TGCATAGCAAGATGCCACAAGTTACCTTGGACCAGAGGGAGGTTTAGCACAAGGGTGGGAGGTGTAGCCAAGGACCGTGGCAAGGCCTTTTTGGAAAACACTGGCGAGAGCAAAGCTGTATTTGCTTTGCTGAGGTTAGTTTGGAGCTACAGTAGGATAAATGAGACCAAGATCTGGTTTAGTTGTTAAAGCAAATGTATCTGACGTTGACTTCAATAGACTAATTCCAGATTTATACTACACTGAACCCAGAGCCGATGAACATGCAGTGCAATGATAATTATATAGAGAGCAATATAGAAAAACAAATCACTGTATTAAGAGAACCAAACAGATCCTGGAGAAGTGCCATGTTTTTAAACTAGGCCACGGTAACTTGGACTGGTCATTGCCTATCAGAGCATTCTTATGTGCAGGCATTTGGTTTCTGTATCTTAACTGTGTTGAGAAGCTCAGGCAGAAGAAAGAAAAAGCAATTAATCTTTCTCTTGATAGAACAGTGCATTTAAATAATGATGATTAAAAAATGCCAGACCAAATAAAAGCCACAGCAAAATCAAGGGAAAGGCAGAGTCGAGCCAACACAACTTTCTCAGGCTCTCAGGGAGCATTTTCTGCTGCACTGCAGACCTTCCTCCTCTAATGCCTCCCTCCTCCAGTTTCCCTTGTCCACACAAAGCGAGAAGTTAAAGGTAAACATCTGTTTCTGCTTGCTAACCTTTCTTTTTTTTTCCTTAGGAGACTCTTACTGCCGACAAGGGCACTGCACATATTTCACTCTGAAAGATCAAGTGAGGATAAAGGGAGTGGTTTCCTGCTCCTAAAAGCAGCCTGTGCCAGAACAGTAATGCTGTTTAAGCACGGCTCTCCGTCATCGCCAGCATGAATGAAAAGCCAAGGCAGCCCTGGGACTCAGTGAGCAAGATCTCTTATAAATCAGGACAGCAAGTTGACCTCTGGCTCTGACATCGCCAAGCCACCATTTTTGGCCTGTTTGTCATCGCTTGCTCCTCTGGGCATCGTCTCTGTGAGCCATGATGCAGAGAAGGGGTGGGGGCAGGAGGAATTCCCCTGAGAAATCACTCTTGCCCTGCACACATTAGAGCAGCAACTCCCCAGCCTGGTTGCATCCTGTCTGCTCGCTGTGGCCCATCACCCCGGGCTCTGGTGCAGTCCCCCAGAGCTACTCCCCAGGCCCTACACTTGCCTGGTCATGCAATGCCAAGTGACATGTTATTCAGCCTGTTTCAGAGGAGCAGGAAAAAAAGGCACAATCTTACGCTTTCCAAAGCCCCTCAAGTCATATATACCCTTTCCACCCATAGTTTTCACCTCCAGCAGTGAAGCACAGCAAGTACCCCAGGTTCCTGCAGCCTCTCTTTGCTTGTGCAGACCCTGTGCCTCCAACTCATTGCCCTCCTTCCAGTGCTGGGACATCTGCCCGCCGCCTCCAGCTGACCCGGCACACCCCTCACCCTCTGAAATGTTGGGAGAGATGAGATCATCCAGAGCAGCTTGTAAGACAAACATCCTGACAGCTCTCGCTAACATTTTCCACAGGTTTCTCATGCTCCATTAACTCCTGCTAGATAGTATCGCAAAGCGGCCGCCGTAATTAATGGCTTGTGTACTTTTGCACACACAGGTTCTTATAATCCCTCTACTCCTTTCCAAAGAGAGTCAAAATCACTGGCTCAGGACAGCAAATGCACTCAGTAAATACATAGTCTTGGCAATCACTTATAACCTTGTTTTCTGACTATCTTGCTCTGCTCCTCCCACCTGTATGTATTTCTTAAAGAAAAAAAACCCAAACCCTAACAAACAAAACCCAAACAAAACCATGGCCGTCTCCCTTGTAAGGTTTGAGGCATAAATAGAAGGGCATAAAACAAAGATGTAGCTCAACTAAAATCCTTCATCTCTATCATTTGCCCACAAAGCTTGGGGATCAAGGAAAGCAGACCCAAATTTTCTTGCCTGGACCTAAGCTTTAGCTAGAGCGATAACACAGAAGTGATGGAAGTGAGAGAAGGGCTTCCCTACACATACTGGGCTGAAAAGGGAAAGAGAAAAATGCAGAATGTGAGTCTTTCCTGGCAGAAGCTCCTTGCTGTGAGGTCTGATGGAGAGGAAAGTCTGTGGAGGAGAGCACTGGAAACCCTTTCACACCGGTGACTCTGGCATAGAGAACAGCTTGGGTGAAGCAGCTTCTCCTCCATCTCTGACCTCTGGAATATTCAAGTCAAAGCTCTGCCTCATTTGGAGTCACAGGGAGTTTCCCTGCCAAACCCAACAGATCTGCAGTTCCATGTGCAACCACAGAAGGGTTCAGGCTGGGAAGGGATGCCCAAGCACCCTCCAGTCCAGCCCCATCAGAGCCAGGCCATTCACATTCCTGCTTCTGCCAAAGGATGCACAGGAGCTGCACTTCAGACAAGGCTTCCCAAAACATCCCACTGGAATGCTTTACTCAGGCAAGGCAGTCTGAGGGCATGAGCCTGTTCTCAATGGGCGAGGTCTGGCTGGCTTCCGTGGGGACCAGGAGGAAGGGTTGTTCTGGTCAGATCTGGTACACAAACTATTAAAGTCAGCCTTAACAGCATGCCCATCATCTCTGGCCAGCACTATCAAGAGATCTCCAGCTCCATCCTGGACTCTAGCCATGCCATGCTTAAAGGCAGATGCAGAGCCACCTGTTTGCTCCACCTGCATCCAAAACAAGTAGTGCCACATCCCAGAGGACACAACCTCTGTTCTGCAATAAGGCACGCTGTGGCCACGTCCTTTCATAAGCAGGACTGAAATTTCAACACTTCCAGAGACCCCCTACACACCTTCTTCCAGAGGAGATCACCAATAGTGATACCACCGGACACTTTCCCTCCCATAGGCCAGGACCAGCAACTTTTCCTTGCCCCAGAGCAGCATCAGACCATGGCCCCAGCATCTGCATGTGCTTATGCTCCTGGTGGCAATAAAATCATGACCGTGGTGGGATGTTAATGGGCACATAAATAATACCAATGGAGTTATCATTACTGGTGCCTCAGTTCAGGCAGGCATCACCAATATTTATGGTGGAGTACAGTGCTGGTTTTTTAGCAGTATTTGGGTTAGGAGCCATTACATTATTGTGAAATATGCACACTGTTGGTGGGTGCTTAAAGCTCTGCTACACAGTGGCATAAACTTAGTATTAATTTTGGCTCCATAGAGGAAATTGAAAATGGTGCCCTTGAAATCATTATGCTGACTGAAATTCAGCAACAGGGGAAAAGACAGCCTGGAAGGAAATAATAGAAAATTTACTGCAGGCAGCTGAAAGACCTCGTGGGACTTGCTCAGCCCAGGCACAGAGGAGGATGCTGGGGCAGCATGGTGGGATGGGGGGGTTTCTGGCATCAGAGCCCCAACACCACAGCTTCCCCTTCCTTAGCCCCAAGCTGGTAGAAACCTCACAAGCCTTTGGGGATGACTTTTTGCCTGTGAAGTATCATTTGCTCTAACTTTAGCCCTATTTATGTAACTTTATGGGGCTAAGCTGCAACATTCCTGGAGGGACTAAGCTAAGGAAAAAGCCTATTCCTACACACCTAGAGTGGTATTCATGTCTGCCAGGGTCATTCTACCCCTACGTACTGTGCACAGGCAATACCTGAAAGGATGCTACCCAAGTCTTACAGACTGTATCCTGAGAAATGGTACATATGATGAATTCTACCATTTATCCAGTCAGCCGGTACCCTGCATCTGCCAAACCACCATTGCTTACAGTGCCCAACACAGGCAGGGTTGTGTATCGCCCCCTGCAAACCCAAAGGGAATATAGCACATCCCAACTGCTGCATCACAAGCTTCTGCTGGTAAGAGACACAGATGGCTAAAATGAGTGGGCCTGCTTTTATAAATGCATATATATAAAAAAAAAAAAAAAGCCCACTTCAGCTGACATCCCAAAATATTGTCCCTGCTGACTTTGCATGTCCTGACCATTCTGGATAGAGCTGTGCGGAACCTGAGTGACCAATGCTGGTCCGTAGGTGCAAGGGATTTAAAGTCTATTTCAGTAAGTATCAGAAATAAGTGAACTTTATTGAACTGAGATAAATCCTTGGATCTCATCCACATAGAAAGGAAATACTCAGAATTCATCTGAGAGTTGACTCAGACCTGCCCTTTCAACCTCATATCCTGACATTACAACTTACCTATATAAAAGAATAATAATAATAATAATAATAAAGGAAAAACCCTAAAACCTCTACTGGGGCTTCAGCAAGCAGCAGAACTAAGCCCAGAGCAAGAGGAAAATAAAAAAAAAGCCAAAAACAAAGAAACACAGAAAACCGAACCCTTGAATAGCACCATGGGAACAGCTGCTAGTGTGTGCTCTCCTTTTTCTCTGGCTTAGAAGAGCAAAACCCTGCAGCTGGAGCAGAAGCGAGAACCCATCTCAACCTGGGCCCCACTAGAACAACAGGTCACATGCATTAGCTGGGTGATGACAGAGGAAGCAGCTGTTCCCGCTACCCCAAAGCCCGTGAGGAGCTGCAGGGATGGTTCCACAGCAGCAGGAGCAGCAGCAGCATCCCCAGTCCCCCCAGCTCATCCCCACAGCTGTGGGGGTGCAGCCCATAGGGTGTTGCCAGCACTGGGGGTGCAAGCGCCCACCAGGTTTTGGAGGAAAGCAGTAAGCAGTCAGTGGATTTTCCTGCTCTTTACAAGGAGCTGCAGGAACAGAGGTCTGGCTTGGTATGGCTCAGATTAGTTCTCATATGTATAAAACTGTGCTTGGCAACACAGCTGCCCTTTATTTAATGCATATTGTGTGTGCTCCCCACTCCCAGTCTGAGCACAGCAAGCATTACCTCACCAACTGGATACAATTTCTCAGCTCCCCGACTTCAATAAAAATTCTAACACCTGCACACTTTTTAAACAAATTATGTCCATTAGAGTAGAACCCCCTCACACACACACACACACACACACACACACACACACGTCAGCAGCCATGCGTCTTGAAACCAAATCCTCTAGAAGACATCTGGTCCATGCTGGTGTCGTTATTACAAGGCTCCCCCGTAGTGCCAGTGGCAGAGAGCCCACGGACCTGCTCCGCAATAGCCACTCTGTAGCCCGGGCTCCCTCTGCCACACTGAGCTCCCTAGGAAGCTGATGGATTTGCTTTCAGGAGAGCCTTAAGACAAATCATAACTAAAAACACTCCTCTGTAAACATAAATAAAACAATGGAAAGCAAAGGGTGAATCCTGCAAGTGCCAATACTGAAGGGGTGTTAGTACCTGAAGCCTTCATACCATGGAGGCTTTTATCACAGATACATGCACTGGGATACTAGGAAAAGTGTCCAGGCTGCAGAGGCTGTGGAGCAGGGAAGGGGAGGTCTTCAGCTTACATTCCTGGGTACAATCGTCTGCAAACCTGCTTTCTTTTCCCAACCCAGCAATAAAACAAGTGTATACTTAAGCTGTTGAGTAGCTGCTAACTAGGAGTTGAGCGTTGGGCATGTTGAGAGCAGCATGTTTTCTCAAGACCTGAGGCCCAGGATTGCATAATTCAGGTATGTGCAAATAGATTTGCTAGAGTGGGTTCCAAGAAAAGGCTCTTCATCTAAAACCCCCCTTGTTTTCTTTTCTGCCAGACCTTTAAAACACAATTCCTTTCCCAACAATAACATGAAAGAATGACAAAAGATGCCACAAACCCCCACCTCTCCAAAGCCCTGCAGCAGAAGGGCTCAGGTGCAAAACTCATGAGCAACCTTTGTTCTGGGGGCATTTCCAGCCCAGTCACTAGGTCAGAGAGCACACACAAGTTTCATTAAACATCCAGGCTGTCCAGTGTTGCTTTATTATCACCTGAACCTTCCCACTGCTTCTCTAGCAAGACCTGAGGCACATAATCCTGACAGTGAATTAATAAGTTTATCTTGGTTGATTGACCCAGACTTTGGAGCCATAGGAAAAAGAACAAGGGCTTAAAGTTCAGCAGAGCTCAGTGTCAAGCATCACTCCTAATGACACCCCAGAGCTCAGCAGAAGCAGTCTGACTTTCCTTACTCAACGTCCTGTCACCAGCAGCCTGTGCAAACCATGCAAGTGCTGCAATTAGTATCAGAGATAAACCAGATCCATTAGTAGATGGGAAGGGAACTCAATCTGTTTTACAAATGGAAATGAAGTAGCAGCCTCAATTATAGGATTTTTAAAAACATGCAATTTAGCGAAATGTTGATTTCCTTTTCGTTTACTTCGTTCTTTGTCTTTTAGATACTTCAGCTCAAGTAGCAGGCAGTATATTAACCAACCAGATTCTGGCAAAGTATTTAATAATCAAGCTCAAATAAGTGCTCTTAGGAAATAATTTTATTTACAGTTCAGCTGGGGAAGAATATTAAAGCTTGAGTATTTGGGTAAAATTATTATCCTACAGTAATATATTGTGAAGGCATTTGGGCTGTAGATGTCTAGCACTAGTGAGTCAGAGCACAGTATTTGACCCTTCAGAAAATTCATCATCTATTTAGGACATAGGGCAGGATTTGCCCTCCAGTTTCACTCAGCCAGGGTGGGCAGCCACTGCCAGCAACAGTTCTAGTACCTCTGTAACCCACCCTGTCCCCTAAGTCCCAGCAGGAAGGTTCCTGGCAGGCAACAGAATCACTCCTAAGGTACCAGACTCCCTCCTCCATACAGTTGCTTTACATATGGACACATTTTACCATTCTGCAGCAGGACTTGAGCCTGTAAACACTGCATGAAGATATTTTAGCATGCACATGCCTGTATAATAATTATTTTTTTTAATTGGTCCAGCCCACGTTACTGTTTAAATAATTGAAGGTGCTGAGCATTAAACATATTTTGCCATGCTTTCTCCATGGCACCTTTCCCACTCCAAAATGTTTGGAATCTGAACAGAGACTAAGCATTAACTAATTAAATTTCTCCAAACAAAGGTTAATTAGTGTGTTTATTTTGGATTATGTGTGTATTGAATTATTAAACACTATATGGTACCATAAAAAAAAAAAAAAAAAAAAAAAGGCAGGATGAAGGGAGGAAACATTCCTGAGCCCAAGGAACAGTTTCTCTGGCTGCCATGCAGCTACATTAACCGTTTATTCACAACTTCAGCACTGCGCTTCCCCACCAACCATCATCATCTGTGGGGATTGAAGGCTAAAAGCACAAGCCTTCCCCAGTCCACAGGGGAGGTCCAGCAGCCCTGAACTGTGACTATGGGAGATTCATGTCATTTTAGGATGATGAATAGCATAGATACAGGGTACCCATATTTGGCTCAGGATAACATTATGCTGAACGCCTTATCCAACACACACGCATGCTCCTCTTGTGGGCCCATTTGCTGTGCCAGACACAGCAGCTGCCAAGGACAGGAGGTCCCTCACCCGGCCCTTTGGACAGGAGTGTCCTCTTCTTCCTCCATGCCCCCACCACACCCTTCCTTTTTGCTCCCAAGGTGGAAAGTTTGCAACATGCAGCCTATGTTCCAAATTTTTCAATTATAAAATTATCTGCAGACCAAGATAATGACTGGAGTCCAAGAGCAAGACCTTCAGCTAAAAGAAACAAGCTGGTAAAGATTCAGCCAGGTTCTGGTTCTCACCCTGTAACGGTAGAATCAAACCACACAGGACATATGGATAAACCACTTGGAACACATAAGAGATAGGAAGATACAAGCTACTACCAGTCACATTGCAATTACCTGACAGAACATAAATATACTTACCTGCCCTGAAAGGAAGGCACAAGGGGCACTATTTTCAAAGAACAAGGGAATCTAAAAAGCTTTCTTCCTTTCTCAAGTTTATTGCATGGAGCAGTATTTCATATACGTTTGGCCTACAGCAATGGGAACAGCACCAGATTTATCTACTTTAAGCATTTCCAGCATGCTATCATGGTGGGTTTAAGGTACTTTTTATCTGAAGACTCTTGTGACAGCGGACATGAGAACCTTTCTTCATCACCAGAATAAGCCTTTGTATTTTACCTTTCAATTAATTTTCTATACCAACAGAAGTCCTAAGCTAGTTACAAAACATATCCCTTCTTTCAAACCATCCTGCATTGCTACAGTGAGTAACAGGCTTGATAGCCCAAATAGCAAAAGAAGAGTAAACTCACAGGCACTCCTCAAATGAGAGAATATTCCTGATCCAGAACCCAGCCAATACCTATAGAAACTTCTCTCCCGCTGCCCCACGTCAGTAGAACATCAGCTTCAATGTAATATTGGAGATGCAGTTTCCAAGCATGCTGTCAGACAAGCTTTGCTGGCACTTGCAAGGGGGATGAAAAGGACAGTTGGTTGAGGATGGGCATCAGAAGCAAAAACGGGTCAGTTCCTGGTATCACCTTGTGATTGTCTTATTGTGATTCCAGCAGTATCTGCAGGAGCAATCAGAGCTGCACCTGACACCTGCAGAAGAGGCAGAAGTAGCTTCAGCTGCTTGTTCTTACCCGGATGTCCTGTTCCTACCCCTCTAAGTCAGGATTCCTTGTCAGTCCTGAATCCCTGCCTGGACTGCCAGTTATTTGCCACCAGACTGGTTTTTTTTTATTCATTAGGAAGGCAAACCCAATTAAAGTTACTTTATTGAGGGGCCTTATACCAACAGTTGCTTTAAAGAAGCAAATTGTTAAAGCCAAAACTCCTTTTTATTTTTAAACTCGAATATTTTTGTCCTGCTGTAGGAAGAAAAAATACGTATCTTTGAATGATGGATATCTCAGAAATCTGATTTTATTCCCCTTTTCTCCTTTCCTAATGGTTTTATGTTTCACATTCATATCCTTCGGGAAAATGCCTGGGAAACTTTTCTGATGATATGTTGAAGGTCACCTACAGTAAATGTGAGACAAAGCGAACACAGATCTCAGGCTTTGCAAATGTTCATTATGTAAATTACAGGAGCTGTGAAGATGGAAATGAGGCATACAGATGCTGTTATGCACAAAAAAGCAGAGGGGAAACTTCAGATTTCCTTTCTCTACAGAGGCAGTTGGTGTCTACAGGCACTCTCGTCCCTACAGTATTTCTAGTATGAAAAGGTCTCAGATTCTCTGTGGGTGTTATTTCAGAAATTACTAGCTCTGTGGTTCTCAGTGAAGGCCAAGGACTGGGACAGATCTTTAAACTCATCACACATCTGGGGAGAATTGCAGGCCAGATGCAGCTGCAACCTAGTCGGAGGAAATGGGGAGGGTGTCTGTGCAGGGCAATGCCTGTCTAGTATCTTTATTCTTGGGATTAGTCTTTTTGATTGCTGTTAGTCAAGACTAGTCCTGAGGAGGAATGTTATCTGTGTTGTGAATTGCAGTGCAGAGATGCACAAGTGGAGGAGATAAAGATTCAGCACTTGATTTCATGCATCCTTGGGCATATCACTTGGAGGCCAGATTTTGAAAGATGACAGAGATCAAAGGATGAAGAATGATAACAGCTTCATTTTCAGATCTATTCCTGGGCGTGCATTTCCTGAGCATTTCAATAGGAAATGAGTACCTTTGTGGGTTTTGTGTTGTTGGGGTTTTTTTGGAATTGGTGAGTTGGTTTTTTGTGTTGTTTTTGTTTTTTTTTTTACTGAATGCCTTTGGGTAGCTAGCTGTTTTTATCATGAGAAGCCAACATATATTTAAATGGCAGACCTTAACTTGCACTTTCAGTTTCATGCCTGAAAAGAAAGGAGTGTGAATCTCCATTTCTTTGTTTTCTCCCAGGTCTTGCTCAGGTTTCAAGTACAATTCTACTCTAAGCAATAAAAACCATTAAGAGATACTTTAGACCTTATTTCAAGAAGTAGTGAGTACTCAGTAGGTAACTGGAGCTACTGGTGTTCAGCAGCCTTTTGAAACTCTCCTGCAGTGTTCCAAGTTCAGTTCTTCAATAATAAAGGAATAAAAAACTTGAGACTGCTTTTGGTATTTTGGACTTAAAAACTCCTTAGGGAAGCTGGGACACAGACATATTGATGATTGGGTGGAAGGACAATGCTGAGTCAGGTGCTCTCCCGTCAGGGGACTGGCACTACCCAGGGCAGATGGAATGGGAAAGGACTGAAGGACTGAGCCTTCCCCCTCAGCCTCATTAGAGATCTGCCCTGATCTGCAGGGAAGAAAAAAAGAAAGAAAAATGAAGCAGAGTAACACTGAAGGGAAATTCCAACTCCCTTACCCTGGGACAACCTCATCCTTCATGTTTACAGAGCACCAAACAGAAGAAAAATTATTAAATTGCCTCAAAATGAAAAAAAGAAACAAAGAAGATTTGTTGAGTCATCCAACAGTGCTCACGTCAAGATATTTTGTTAGCAACTGTGCTAAAAGAGTAAATGTAACATGTTCTGGTTTGGCTCTTCCTTTAGCAGTGAGATCGATTTGCATTCATACATGAAAGTCTGGTTTACAACAAGGTTCTCCTGCCCCTTTTTTTCTTTCATTGCTTCCATCATGTATCTTGGCTAGAAAATCTGCTCTTGTGAACCCCCTTCCACTAGACAAATCCTGGGCAGACCATTCCCCACCATGCACATGTTTTCTTCAAGCAGTTTATTTTTTTTCTGAAAGGCTGTTTTGAGAAACAGGAAGGTTTCATCCTTGGCCACACTGAGCTCCTGCACGCACCATGCTGGGTGAGCGGAGCCTCACTCCCCGAGGAGGAACTTGTCCTGCACAAGCCCCATGTTTCGCAACACATGTAGGAAACATCTTGCGCTGGCCTTGATTTATGCAGAAATGTTAGCTAATCTCTTTTATGTAATCACCGATAGCTGCTTCTAAAGGCTAAGTCCCCAAAATAGAACAAATGAATTAAAAGAGACAGATGTGGTTTGGCTGACTCTTTGTTCCAACAACGGCCTCAGAAATAACCTAGTCAGTTTGTGCTGATTTATACAGGATCAAATACATTGCACACCCACCCAGATAGGAACATACAGGTTATTTGCTGTTCAGCCCAGTTTCACAGGCTGATCCCACTCACACCAAAGCCACTGGAATTGCTCCAGGTTTATTCTGCTGAAATGCGGTCAAAGTCTGGTCAAAAGTCGCACTAAGACTGGCTTTTCACTTACCCTGGATCCCCTTGCTTGGCACCAGTGCAGGCTTTGGGAACTAAAGGCATGCCTTACCCACTCAAGAGCTGGCTGCCTCTGTTCACCCAGAATGACTCAGGGAAGGCAAATCTCTTAAGTACCTTCTGCAGCATCTTCAGGTTCATACCCTGCGCTCAGAATGCTGGTCAAGAGCCAGCCTGAGGCTCAGTGATCCACTTGGCTGATGTGGTTACCAGTTGACCAGTCCACAGGCATAACGGCACCTAAAGGAGTAATGTATCCCAGCGAGGCACAGACCCATCAATCAAACATGCATTCAGGGGTGGGCAGGGTGTGAACATGCCTGGTGAGAGACTCAAAATCCTGCTCCTGGGAGAGAAGTTACAGTGTCTGCTCAGCCATCCCACCTTCCCTGCTTAGAAATAGATGCCTCTTGTTTCAGGGACTGAGCCGTTGCCTGGCTCATGCACACTGACAAAAGACCCTCCTCTTTGCTTTTACGCCATGGAAAAATATTACTGAATAGGGCTGCGTTTACATTCCCTTCCTCCACCAAAGGCTCCCCTGCCATGGTTGACTTCAGGGGTAGCTGGAGCAGTCCCATAGGCTTTAGAGAATATTTTCTCATTTTATGTAAACTGAGCATTGGCTTTGTAAAAAGGAAAAGATTTATGCTTGGCAAACATTTCCAAGGAGCCAATATTTCCCCTTTACTTACTTGTGGCTTGTGAATAAAATCCTCACACAGCTGGTACCTCCACTAATGATCCCATTACAATATGTATTGAGCTGATACTCTGTGATATCTCATTGAGGTATTCATCCATGTCGGAAAGGATTTGTCCATAAAAACATCTCCTCTCATACCGTCATAGGATGCTGCATTCATTCCTCCTTCCTCTGTCATCTTGTGTTGCCTAATCCCACTCACTGACATCAATCACAGGAGGAAAATAAGACAATTAGCTGGCAATTAATTAAATTATAAACTGTAAGGAAGAGCAGAATATTTGTAAACCTTAATAGCCTTATTAACATGCACATTACAAGCTAGTTGCACAATCTTATGGGTATGGATATCTTTATACATCCATGACATCACAGAGACCTTAATCACAGGATAACCATTGTTCACCTCAAAGAGCTTCACACCAGTTCAAGGAACCTGCCCGGCCAGCCTGGAGCTGTGACCATACAGCTGCTTTACACCTCCCTGCCCATGAAAAGCAGGAGTAAAGGATCACTGGACCATGTGCTATGCAGCAGCATCCCGCCAGCTGTGGGTCCTGCAGTGTCCATGCTATGATCAGGCCAGGAAGGTGTGGGTGATTCTCTGCAGACAAATGTTTTCTGCACAAAACAGGCATCTCATGGTGTGCATAGGCAGTGGGGAGCTCTACCCAGCCCCTAGGCTCTGTGATCCAGGCTATGAGTGTATTGACCTGCAACAAGTCAGAGACAGCCACTCAGTACAGGGCTGTCTCTGGGATGGACCAGGCACCTGATGGTCAGGAGTAGTGAGCCCTGGCTCCTTCCCCTGTTCTCTTCTCAGCTGGGCAGGCTGCTGGCTTTTCTGTCACTAGGACACACATCCATTGGGCTGGGGCTAAAGTCTGAAATGGCACCAGTGACAGTACAATGGATTATCATTATATAATGAGTATGCAACGTGGTTTTGGTTAAAGCAATTTCCTGCAGAATGAAGGGAAAGTAAGTGGGAAGAAAACAATGTCTCGGGTAAGGCACCCTCTGCAGTACTGCAGCAGCTGCTACAAGGCAATGGCACTGGCTCCGCCACTGAAGAACTGAGCTCAGAGCTTAATGCACCCAGTAAAGTACCTGACCTTTGTTTAAAAGTCACAAGAGAGGAGGAAAAAACCCCAACCCAACCCAAACAATCCATGAGTGAGAGCATGAAGCCATATCCAGACCCAAACGAGGTACCATGACCCAATGGCATTACAATGGTCATGTTGCCATAATATCACTGAATGGTCCTCAAGTCCCCTATGAATAACCCTCACACAAAACCCTCAAGGTATGATCTCTCATATCATGCTATTTCTATAATATTTTTGCCTTGGAAAGGTGACTGAATCAGTCCCTCTAATATACACCAAACCCCTTTCTCCTAGTCTATTTGTTCCAAATGAAGTACTTTCTTGAAGTAGGAGAGTGACCTATTAAAGTAGGGAAATAAGAGTGTGGAAGATGGAATTAGCTGTAAATAAGGTTTGCCTCCAATGGCAGGTACAGCCCAACTAGACTCTGCCATCTTCCTTCTGTCAAACTCAGTTGCATCCCAAATCTCAGCTGTGTTAACTCTGGTTCCAGGCCAGTGTTATTTCTGTAACATGTGAACTGGGATGACATGTACCCAGCCCATTCATTTATTTGTGGAGTGCGGACTTCTGACCAATAGCCAAGTGCTAATAAAAGCAATGTTCTCTCTCCTGTGCCATTCTGTGCTAGCTACCGGAGACAGACTGGACCTCTGGGCATACGGTGCTCACTGTGAGCAGAACTGGGGTCACCACCCAGCTGCAGCTTAAGGTTTCCATTCTTAATTCTGATGGAGCTGCATTGGCACATTGTTTTCTCCCCCACTGCAGCTCTGTATTTAGCCAGGGATTCTGTCCTTGGCTTGTTTTTTTTCAGCAAGATTGGTAGCTAATGCTGCTCTGCTGTCAGTACGCCTGGCTCCCTTGTCAATGCACAGCTTGTTCTTTTGGATGCATGAGGCAGTCAGATGTGACAGAAGCTGAGAGGTTTCTTTCACAGCTAGGAAGGGAGAGAAGGGAGCCAAGCATTTCCATACCCACCCTAGGAGCTCTGCTCCCCATGAAGGGCTGGAATTCAATACTGACTGGTGCTGGGAACACCCACATTCAGTTAACCTGACTGCAGCTCTCGCTGTAGGATAATTGGCTCTGAGGAGACATTACAGCAAGAAAAAATAAATTAATCAGACAATATAGGACATCAGACATTTCAAACATAACCCAGGGTGAAGTTCAAAGAAGCTGTGATGACCAGGGGCCATAGTCAGATTCCCTAACCCCAGATCTCACACCTGGGGAAATTCCGACCTCTATGGAGTCACCTGGGCTGGTGCTGGGACCAGTGAGATCAGAATCTGGCCCAGATTCTGGCCAAGATTCTGATCTCCCTCGCCAAATCACTTGGCCTCCTGCTGCACCCCATGTTGTAACTATCCATGATGTTGACACATTCAACTTGCCACTCATTTGTGGGACTAATTACACATTCGCATTTGTCTGTGCTCACTCGGCTCCTAGCAACTGCAGTCACAGTCCTAATTAAAATAATAGACTGAGATTGGTAACATTACTGATTTAACAGGAAATTAGAAGAGTTATGTTCGCAGAGCTTAGGTAATTGACACCAACAGCGCTTTTCTTGTAATGTGCATTCTGTGATTGATTTTGTTCCCCAGTCAGACCTAAAAGCAGCTTGAGAGCACATCCCACCATCAGATTACAGTAGAGAGGAATTAAATGACTATTACACCACTGCCTGCTCTAGAGCTGGCAGCTGTGGGCTTGAGGACGGCTCTGAACTTCCAAACCAAACATTAGACCTAAAATTACAAGCCTAATGTAAAACGAAACATGTTCAGCACGATGTGTTCAGTTCCCCTTTTAAGAGCTACCCTGCAAGGTGCTCATCTGACAGCGTTCCTGCCCAGGAAGAGGGCAATTGGCAACTTATGTGTCCTTGGTTGCCTCAAATACCAACTCCCTTAAAACAGGGCATCGCCTAAATATAACGTAGCTTCCTGCAGGCAGATGGAAAGGCTCTGGGCACACCATTGACTCTGCAATACAGAGGGAAACTCTGGTCATACCATGGTGGAGCTGAGAGCAGATGGTGATGGGCAATGTTCAAAGCTTTGCTGTGCTAAACCCATCCTGCAGTTTAATCCACATGAAGGAGTTCTGTGTGTGGTTAATATTGCAAGGCAGCCGTGGATGGCATGGTTTAGTGGAAGGTGTCCCTTCCCATGGCGGGGGGGGTGGGAACTAGATGATCTTAAGGTCCTTTCCAACCCTAACTAGTCTA